CGACCGTTGGTATCCTTGCCAAAAAGCGAAGGGAATGGAGAGTCGTGGGGGATGGGGAGGGGCAAAGGAACGGCGTGGGCAAAGTCATTCCAATAGGAGAGGGAGAGAGAATTGTTTGGGGTGAGCTCTGCCAATGCCTATCTGAACATGGATTTCCTTTATGGAGGCTTAACCTTTATCGGCTTATGAAGCGAGAGAATCATTCAATCTCATTCAGCCTCCACTGTTGGCCCGACTATAGTTAATTTGCCAATGGTAACAGTTGGGTGCCAGTCTAAGAGCAATCGCATCAATCAGTGCTACCAGTCGACGACTTTTCCTCAATTATGCCTCGCAAATAAGCTTTCAGCTGTCCGTGCATCGGTTATTAACTTAGAAGCAGATTTTGTTGGTAGTAATGTCACGTCCTAGTAGAGCACATTTAGTTTAGTTGATTGACACATCGGGTTCCTTACAAGTGCTCAATGAGATGGCCAAAAATTTTTGGCGGAGTAGATCGCTTATGGCAGCTGATATGATCATTGCACCTCATTTCTTTGTCAGAAGTTCTGGTATTATGTTGTCTAATTCAAATTACAGTGGTTTGGCTACCTTGTAACTTTAAAGCCGTTTAAAAACCGAGAATGGGGTTATTAGAAATAACTAACACCTGAACACTTAATGTGAGCAAGTTTCCTGAGTTTTCCAACTGTCCATCTTGCTAATGTACCTTGGCCACACATTGGGAATGCATCAAAATGTCTGCTGTCACATGACTTGTGGTGAAAAGCACAAAGGTTTTAAAATTCGACCTTTTGGACGCCAATCATTTGTCCCAATTGTCTGAATGTCGGTGATTTCACATTGCAACTCTACTTACTCATCCAGGTCCATTGTATCAGCCTCTGAATGACAGAAGTAAATACAGCCGTCTAAGCTATTTAAGATGACGCTCTCCAAACAGGCGAAACTTCTAATGGAAGGGAGGAGATGCTCATAATTAATAATGTCTTTAAATTTATCCCTTTGAAATAACTATCTTGCCTCCTCTTGCTCTCTATTTTGGTGCTTCTTCAATGTACCAACGCTTGTAGTTGCATGGAATTGAGATGCAGTGCGTCTTAATTACCGAAGGGAGACTTGAGTGTTCAGTTAATTTTTCGAAAACAAATAAAAGTGTGAACATTAAGGGAAATTCAATTGTAAGCAGAATTAGCACGTAGGCGGTTGAGTGGATGTAAGAGTGGAACACAGGCATTGCGTGTTATGAAACTACACAGACCCTCTCCTACTTTACAACATTTAGCAGATGCAATTGAATGGTAATAACAATGGCAAAACATATTTTAGTGACTATTCATTCTTTCTCCTAAACAAATAAGAGTGAGTTCGTTCTCATTGAAGTCCTTTTATTTGATACTGAATCGCTGCGCTTCTGACGCTAAATTGTGAGAACCTGTTGGATAAGGCAGTAGTGAGGGTGATGGCCGTTACCACGTAAAAGAAACAGTTAGGACTGAGAGAAACCGCAGCAAACATACTGGTATTTCCTGAAACAAAACATCAACAAAAACTCGCACAGAGCATTGAACTCAGCGAATCCCTAATTCAACTAGAAAAAGCTCAAAATATGGTTTCCTGCCAAACATGACGTTGACTTCAGCTGGTCAAGTATTGGTATAGTTATGACCGGAAGGTCAGCGAAGCATTAACCATTGCATTAACAAGCTAGCATCTGTTCAGAGTTCAAGTGTGCTTCATCAGATCTTAGCATCGTAGTGCCATTTGAGACATTTACGCCTCGATGGCAATGGGAATCAACTGGCATCAGTTTGAAGGTAGTCTGTGCCTTGTGATGCAAAACATACGTCAATTATCTGTATACATTGCTCCATGCGGATGATTGATTTGGTTCTGTTGACCTTTTGCGGCTTAATATTGAAGGGGTCACATTGATACACCTCCATTGGCCTGGACCTCTTGGCTCATGTCAACAGCCTTGATGTCCTCTGGTCTGCTCCTGCACTGTCTCTGTTCAGCGCGCCCTTTTCTTTTCCCGGAGGCACGACCCTCCTATGTCCCGCTTGAGTCATGCAGTGGCCAGAATATCACTTCACCATGGCAAACTGATAATGCTTTTGCGTCACGACGTTTGCCAACACAATGCGGACTTCCCATAAATGGTAACTTCAAATATTTAACTTTAGCTTTTCGTTGATCTTGTTGATCACTTGCCTTAGCCGTGGTTATGCGTTTGGTAGGATAACCACGATGCTTTCGAAGCTTCGAGAGTACCTTTATTTCGATAAGCCAAACTATAGCATTGGAATTCTTCTCCGAAGCATCGTATGTCGCAGCGGTTCAGGTAAGCCACCATCAAGACAGTCATTGACAAAAATGGCAGGGTTGGAATATGATGACCAAATTCTACGTAGTTTCAGGTCCAAGCACAATGGGCAGTAGCCTACTTTATTATCATATTTTTTCACATAGTACCATCAAATGCACTATGGAGACACTGAGTGGCGTCCGCGGCGGTGCAATACATCAATCGCGTACAATAACTGCGCCTTCGTATTTGTGGCATGGGGCACCGGCTTCATGGACGCCATTGGGAGCAGAGCAAATTTATGACGATCTTCTGCGGTGTGGTGGGTGATTTAGGGGCGGTAATGCCAAACTCCTCTCATCTACTGCTGATATTTTGCTCAAAAGGCAAAGGACCCAAGTTACCCATAGTTGTTATATGACCTTCGATAGAGTCTGGCCTGTGAACCACGGAGATGCTGATGTTGATCGGCAACGTTAAAAGTGTTCTCTCGAAGGAGGTTCTGACTCATTTTTACGCCGAAGTCACCGACCATTCTTTACTGCTGTCTCTCATCTGTACGTTGCTGAAGGCTTTGAAACATTTTTGTTCAAATTCTTTGCCTTTTATAGTTGATCCACTTAACATAGTAATCTCCACAGAAGAGGATGTTCCAAGCATAAGAACGCTCGTAGTCAATCTACTTTAACGTTTTGATTGCCTGGACAAGGATCTGTCAATTTATAGGAGTCTTTGATAAACTCAATCAACTCATTTATGGTTGAAGTCACTGTTACTTTTCGACTTCCGTTTTCATACCACACCTGCTGATGCTCAAAGGAAGATCTCCAAGAAAAGTCTACTACTGTACATCAAAATTTTGCAGGGATTCCCTATTGATAGTGATTATAGAGGGATGATAGTTTAGTCCTTCTTGCATTTTAGTTTTTCATGTAAAGATACTGCCAAAAATCAAGTTTAGGGGCCCAGTTGGCTTTACCAAAAGGAGTTCCCACTTTCTTGGTTTGAATTCCCTCCACTGTTATTCGTCCAAAAAAACTCAGGATAGGTAGTTTTAAAGTAACTTTCTTTGAAGGCTTGCGATGCAACTGGAAAGAATTCGGATAGCTATTCTTCGATGCGCTTGCATAATTTTTTTAACTTGCATGAAACAGACTAATAAAAAGTCGTATTTCACTCTTAATCGGTAAGTTTTTATCCTAACTTTCTCTTAGCTAAAGTCAGCAACGTCATCGGCATCAACATCGACTTCGGTGGAGTTGAAGACAGACGCTGCAATGTTTAAAATTAACAGCGCCTCCGCCTCCAACTGGTAGAAAACAAACCATTAACCTCGCAATGAAGCTCTTAATGGTCAAGAGCCCTCACCACCAGAACTGTCTGCAGCCGAGATCTGGCGCCAACCACGGGGATGGTGGCGGCGATGAAGGCGGTGGACACATGCAACAGAGGAGGTCAACGCACCATCGGCATGTGCGCGATATACTCGCCACAGAAACTCCACCATATCGCTGATTGGCGTTGTGTGTGTGTGGAGAGATTGCATGCACAAGGGGTAGCACGCGCGCACCCTCAACCCGAGCGCATCTCGTGTGTATGCACACGCACTATTGCGGAGACCTCCGCACCCACGTACGCACGCGTACACGTGCGCACGCGCGTGTGCGTTCAGCTATTAATGTCATTCCTCTTTCTCTGTCGCCCTCACTTCGTGCGTCTCTCCGGCTCTGGCTCTCTCTCTCTCTCTCTACTCTCTCTCTTAGACTCTGCTGTCTTGCTGCTCATTCTCTTGCCTCTCGATTTATATACGGAAGTGTGACTGCATTTCCTCTGTCTAAATCCGCGTTCCGCTTGCATTCACGCCGCTATGACCTAGGGTTGCCTCGCCAGACAACGCAGCCGCATTCATGGAAATCCCCACTTTGTGTCTTCTCTGCTTTCTGCTCAACATCCTCGGTGAGTCATTACACTCTCAAGTGTATATTACCTCTGTTTATGAGTTTTCTGTCCCCATTTTCATTGTGGGTGGATGTGGGTCTTTGTGTGCGTCTACTACTGTGTGTACGAGTGCATAAATTTTATTACTGGGGCAGTTTTATTGTTCTTCTGGCGTACGCCTGCACATTCACACACACGCACACACATCCACACACGTTCAAACACACACAGGCGGGCGTTCCGTCGTCGCGGCCTCGTTTGCAGACACACACAAACACATACACGCGCATTTCAATGAGAAGACATCAAACAAGTCATCATCATTACAGCCCTTCCACATGTGCGTGCACATAAGGTAATAAAAGTCGTAATATGTTGTGATTACGTAGAGAGGGAGACAGATGGACAGAGGCCGTAAAGTGATTAAATAGCTGACACTGGGGCAAATTGGGATCTGCTAGCCAGAAAACGTTTAGTCCCGGCTTATTTGATTTGTTACCTGATGTCCAGGGAGGCTACAGGCAGCCACGAAAGAAGAATGTCTCTGGCCAACAGCAATTCTATTGATTGGTTGGGTAGTGCAGTCTAGGAAGGAGAAGAGCATCGGTGGAAGCGAAACGCGACTGTTTTAGAGAGAAAAAAGGAACAAGAAGGCGGACGGCGTCTCCTGTCGTTTTCACTCTCTCCCCTCCCCCTCCCGTCCTGTTCTTTTACCCCTGCTTTGTCGTGCTGAGCTATAGTCTCGCCAACACTGCCGCTGCTCCCCCATTTCATGTTGCGTTGAGTGCTTTTTTCTCAGTGCAGGGAAAAATGGTCTCCTGCATGTCGTTTTTGTACAGACGTGAGTAACTCTTGCTGTCTGGTAGCACGCCTTAGTCATTGAAAGTCAACACAACGGCAAGGATAGCCAAACCGACGAGCTCACTGGTTCCACATTTCTGTCAAATATCTTGTTTCATTCCATCTTTTTAGTCTACCTCAGCTCCATTTCAACTAGTGAAAGGATGAGAAAGCAATCTCATTAATTACCTGGCCTTTGTCCGCAAGTTGGAGCTGACAATAAGGCTATTATTTACGGCTTTGTGGGCGGACTGTAGAAGCATAAGTGTGTGTGTGTGTGTGTTCCTATTTGCTTCGCCTGATGTCGCAGTACTTCAAGTAACTTGGTTTTTTATTAGTTTATTCCGGTAATTTGTGCAACTGAAGTGTAGCCTACTCATGCATTTCGAGCTAGTTTGTAGCATATGGTCATAGATGTGAGGAGAGCATGCTTAAGCGCGGTTTGTAAGGTTTCTGGTAATTTCATTGCAGTTGTAGTTGAGGTTTAGCGCTTCCCATTCCAACCATAAACCACACTCGTCCGCGCCAAAGTGGTAGTTGAAACCACTTTCATGCTTTCCACTTTCCAGTTGGGCGTAGAAATGAGTTAAGATGGTTTTCAGAGGCAGTTTTGCGTCTACAGTACATCTTGATAAAAGAAGACTAGTACCTGAATTTTCTGGACTTGAACGGCATTGCAGCATTTACATTAACAAAAAAACTAAATTGTAGAGGCAGGTTGGAGCATTTTGAATCACTGAGTCCAACCATCATGCCCTCATTTACATTCAAACAACAATTGTGCCTTCCATTTCGCACATCAAACTGTCAGCCAAACTAGACAGGTGCATGTGCATTTTCTCAGCGGTCCACAAGTCAGCATCCTGTTTATGTATCCTACCTTCATCCCAGCCCCTCTTTCTCGCCCCTTTTGCAGGGACCTTTGGGATGTGTCTCAACCCTTCATTCTGTTCATTTCCTTTCCTCATGAAATCGATATTCACCTCGAATATTTTGAATTTCTTCTGTTTTGAGGCCCTCATAAAGGCTGGCTAGCTTCCCCTAAACTTCGATTTATTTTTCGTACACCTTACGTTGTCGTCTGATCCCGTATCCGCTCAAACCGTGGCTCCCAGTCTAGTTGAAGTCCCGCAATCCGAATGAGGATAGCGGTGCCGAATATGTCTGTTGTCTTCGCTGTAGTTTCGCAGGGACCTGTACCAAGATTTTGGGAGAATCTGTGCTTTACTCCTTTCGCCACTGAAAGCATCTATTTGTTTTGCAATTTGCAGCAGGTTTACAAAATACACCAGGCGTTCCGCACCCACAGCCCACACATGCGTACACATGGTTATGTCGAGTGGACTTGTCTCAATTACTAGGTTCAATTCCCACCCGAAACGTGTTTTGTATTTTTTTTTCCTTAATTCGCACACGATGTGGGATTCCGCATATCCTTATGATCACACCCTCGACCACCATACAATGCATTCAGAAGGGAAACTTCCGATTCGGTAACTATGGCAAAGCGTTCGGAAAGTCACATTAACTACGAGATTCCTGATCGAATTGCCCATTTTTGTCAGGGCTAGAGTTTTTAGTGCCTCTTCGTTTCCCCCTCCTTTCTTAATCCCATGAGAAGTACGAGGAATGGGTCAATAAATCCCATTCAACATGAATCTCATCCAAACTTAATAAAAATGGTTTGGCTTCTATCTAACTGTGTTTAAATATTTTCGGTACTTCCTTGCCTTATGTATAAGGTTGGGACTCCATTATGGCTCACGCTTTGGCGTAAGGTAATAGTCTTTATTCTACAACTTTGTTGACGCTCTGATATTTCCATAAATTAGGCACGGGGTGTTTGCTGTGACGCAGGTTTGGGTAGCACGCATGACAAATGGGTGCGCTCTTAATGCACACAGCCGTGGTCCGGTAATGAAGAATGTTTTGAGCATAGGGCCTAAGGGGAGAGGGGGAGGAGAGGAGGCTCTGTGAAGGTTAATTCTGCTCCATTTTAGTTTTTGATTGGTGTTTCTACCACCAAAAACACCCACTGTTCTACTAGACTTGCTTCAAGGTCTTCTCGCCCGAGTGTGTCAAATGTTGAGCAGCAAGTGCGGCGTACCGACAAATCAAACACTACCCCCCTCCCAACCTAGCAACTAGGCACAAGACAGTGGTAGCCCTCTGTGACTCAACACGTCACACAACAGTCAGCCGTTCGATTAGACATATGGTGCTTAATTGATGATTAGCGGACAAAACGACCACATGAACGGTCTTCGCCGCCAATGCCTCTGTCCGATGAGTACACAAACCTATATTTACCAATCCGCAATCCTGGATTTAATCCATTGCCTTGAGGTCTCTCTGAAAGCCGGCATATCTACATTTTTTTGTGATTTGGAGGTTTGAGTATGGGGAGGGCATGAGGAGGTGGAATTGTCCACTATTCCTTTTTCCGCTCTTTCACGAATTGACTCCAGCACGGACTGGAGGGACTTAAAGGTGGTAACACTAAAATAGAAACAACGAAAATGTACCATGCTGTTTAGGAAAGCACAATTCTGAAGGTGGAAAGAAAGGGTTGAAGGAAAGGAGAAACTCATGCAATTATGTTTGCCCCGAAAAGAGGAATTGGTGATTTCAGGTGATCCTTTCTTTCGTTCAGAGGGTTACCAGGGTTCTTGCTAGTAATTATCACGTGTTCAGACGTCCGCAAGTGTGCAGGCCTTCTGGACATGTCAATCGTCAGGTGGGGGTTACGAACACTGGTTGGCGTCGGCGTCGGCGTCGTATGCGTGCCGCCGTTTGGACGAGCTTCCGAATTGTGCGGTATTTTGACAACCACAATTTGCGTGAGGTGAAGGGGGGTCGGTGAAAGGCCCTCGGCAAATTCACTTTTACTTCCTCGGTCTAACGGTGAGTTCATCAGAATGCAAAAATTCCGCGTTCAGTCCATACGGTTTCTTGGCTTGCTATTCTGCATGCACACAATACAGGCTTCATTAGGCCTACCGACAGTCATTGTGTTTGGCTTAGCTCTCTGTTTTTCTTCTCTGAAATGTCTGATTTCCATTTCTCTCGATTCATCAAATGGCAGTACGGATGTGGTGAAATTAGGTGGAGGTGAATGAGAGATTGGTTATAGTGTGTATTTGTGTGTGGAATGCATCCCACCTTCTACTGTTCAATCACTGCTTCCATTTACCTAACATTGGCTCCAGTAAAATTTAAAATACCGTGATTGTGTGAACCTCGAGGTCTGATTTCCGGACGACTGTGTCGAATATTGACATGGCGAGGTTAGTAAGACTGCGTTAACATGATACTGAGTGGTAGTTGGGGCGCGGATATTCCGTGATCGCATTTGAGAGACTGGAGTAAGAGAGAGAGATTAAAGCCTCCTAGGTCAAAAACAACATGCACGTGAGGGATAACGATGCTGTTGGCTCTCATTCAACCCGTTGTAAGGACCTATTCAGTGTACTTTTGTGCACGTACGTGCAAGTAAACGGATTTCGACTCCTCCATTGAAATTCATGTTGAAGGAATTTGTGTTGTTCTGTTGCTCCCTCAACGAAACCATCATATACCTTTTCAATCGTCATCCGGGTATCCGGATTGTTTGATTTCACCACATATTTACCCTCTACTATCACCTGTAGAGTTAAATAATCTTTCAGTGTTCGGTTGGATAAATAACTGTCCCTTCCATGTTGATGAGGGTAAAGTAGAAACAGTAGGAGAGACGACGGTGGTAGAACCAGACTGAACAAGGTTTCGCAAGCCCCTTTTTGTTGCAAGAGGAATGCGCAATTTCTAAAATTAGCATTGCCAGTCAGATGAGTAATCCTGATATCAATTACAGTTGAAATGGGGAAGTCTTTTTCCTACTCAGGAGAAATCGAAATCCTGACTGTTGTGAAGGACCTCGTCTGAGAGCGCTTGGGGGCAGCAAAAATTTACTCTCCGTATCTTTTTCACCAAAAGGCAAGAAAAAGTAGACGAGTCGATGCATATGCAGCTTTCGCCTGTTCGCGTTGGGTCAAGCTCTCTTGCTGTCTGAAACTACGGCATCCATTCCAGTTCTCTTGCCCCCTCTATTTCCTTCCTCTGTCTTCTGTCGTGTGCGTGTCTGTGAACGCTCGTTGCCGATAATTTTGGTCAAAGCACTGGGAAACGCATGTTTAATTTTATTAAGAGAGACTATTTAGTGTCTCCTCCCTTCCTGAATTGTAGGTAAGTGAAGCTTGAGCTATCTCATCAGGTCCCTTGATATCGCAGTCAATTGTGTCCACATCTACTAATCCGCCTGCCTAAAGGGTCACTCACCTACTCACGCATTTACTCAGTATGCAAATTACTAGGAATAATGATTTTCCCCACAAAAAAGGGTGGCAATAATTTATGCGCTCTCAACCTATCCAAGCCCCTATTCTTCCCACATCCCATGGGACATAGGGACAATTTTGCTCCATCCGTGGTGGAATGTATTGGATCAATAGATGGACCATGTGACACCTTCTTGC